AACTTTGTCACAATTCAACATATGTATGATTCATAATTTTTTTTTATATATAATTTTAATTTATTCATTTATTCTTTTTTTTTTTTTTTTTCATCCTTTTCGATATTTTTTTAATTTTTTTAAATATTAAAAAATTTTGTTTATATATAGTATTTTAAAATTTTTTTGATTCCTTTCTCTAATTGTATTTATTTTATACATTTTAGAGTTTTTTTATTTAAAAAAAGAAAATTAAATATAATATCAAGTTTTTTTTCTTTTTTTCAATAAAGATATAAATGATAATAAAAAATATTTAAGATAAAAATATAAAAAAGTATACTATAAAATTAAAAAAAAAAAAACAAAACAAAACAAAAAAAAGGACAAAAAAAATAATGTAACCATATAAAAAGACAATATATATAGACAAAAAAATAGATTTTCGTAAGCCATTTTGATTTTTTTCTTTTTTATTTAATACCTTGTTGAATATTTTGTATATAATCATACATTATAGTTGTTATGTTGTTATACGCTTGATGAATTTTATTAACCATAAAAATGCTTGCGTCATTGTCATTTTTGTTTAATCTCAATCTTTTTCTATATTATATAAAAAAAGGTAAAATAATTTATAATAATTTTTTATTAATTTTTTTTGTTATAAATATAAATGTTAATTTTATATATCTGATAAAATTTTTTTTTTTTTTTTACTTTAATTTTTCAATTGTATTATATTTAAAGCAATTAATATCAGAATGAGATAAGCTTAAAATTGATGAAATTATCCAATCACTTTTTTCTCTTAAAAGTAAGTATCTATAAGAAATTAAAAAGAATTTATTTATTATGTAAATATAGAATTAACTAATTTAATTTGGAGAGTATATATAATTTAACCCTTTTACTACTAGTTGAATATATGAAAAAATAAAATACTGCTTTTTTTGACTATTAATAGTTAAGAGCATAATCATTTCTCTTGTTAATTTAAATGGTGCTAATTCAAAATTGATTGATATACCTACATTAATTATAAAAAAGTGTTTAAAATAAATGTATTATTTTTTTTTTTATATTTAAAAAAAATTGCTAATTTACCTGGATATATGTTTAAAATATAACCAAAATCAATGTGAATTATATTTCCACATTCATCAAATAACAAATTTCCATTATGTCTATCTTTTACTTGTAAAATAAATGATAACAATGAATATGCAGCTAAAGATGAGATAAAATTTTTCAAGGCATATATATATAAATTAGTATTTGAAAATTGTAAATGATAATATTTTATTATATTATTAAATTTTTTTCCTATATCATGTCTACTTTTTGTATTTGCTAATACTTCAATAATTGCACCAAAATTTTCAAATTTTTTTTTTTTTTTTTTCTTTTTTTTGTTAGAAAATTCTCTTCCTTTAGAGTTATTCTTTAATTGTTCCTTAAAATGTAAACTTACATTATTAACATTGTGAGAATCTGAAACAATTTTTATATCTTCCTTTAATTTATTATTTTTGCTAACGTTATTACTTTCATCATAATTATGATAACACTTGTTTATATTGTCTGAAAAAACATTCTTTTTTTTTTTTTTGTTTCTATTAAACAAATAAAAAGAAAAAGAAAATTTTCTTTTATTTTCATTTTCCTTTTCCTTTTTATTAGTATTATCATTGTTCTTATATTTTTTTTCCTTAACATTATATGATTGTTTTTTTTCAGTGATTTCATCTTCTTCATTTGAATATACATTAAAAAATTTGTTTGTAACTATATTATAAGGGAATAAATTATAAAATAATTTATACTCATTTAAAATGTGAATAAATATATGAATAGTTTGAATAACTAATTTGTCTTGTCTTACATCATCATTTACTTTATAAATATATGATATATCTTCATAATGTTTTTTTTTTAAATCATGAATATTACTAATTATTCGTTTTTCATTAATTTTACCTGAACAGTACATATCTTTTTTTATATTAACGCAGCTTGTATCATTTTGTAAATTATTTTTTTCTTTTTTATTATTACTTATACTTTCTCTATTTGAAAAGCTACCTATTTCTTTTATTTTTTCTATATTATTAATTTCATTACATTTAATTTTCTTTTCAAAATTGTTTGTATTATCACAACTACTTATATTTCTTATTTTATTATTATTTGATAGTTCATCAATTACACATTCATTATTTATATCATGCATTGATATTAATCTGTTTTTAATTTCATTTCCTTCATTTGTAAAATATTTTACAAATGGATGGATATTTGTATATTCTTTTATATTTGGTTTTGTTGTTTTAAAAGTTAAAAAAATAGGAGATCGCGTAGCGGACATTAAAATTTGTATGTTATCAGATATAGAGGAAACCTTATTATTATTTGTTAATAATTTAAAATTATTTATATCATAATTATTTAATAAATTTTTAATCTCCATTTTAACAAAATCGTTTTGTACATTTTTGTCTAATTGTGATGCCTTCTTACTAATACAAAATATAATATTATGCAAATGACACGATTCTAATAATATATTTCTTCTATTAGTATCTAAATTTTCTAAAAATATTTTTTTAATCAAGGAGCATTTTAAAGATAAAACATCTGATTTTTTTACATAATTTTGATATTTATGAAAAATAAAATTATTTATATTTAGATTGTTAATAATTTTATTTTTATAACTTTTACACTCATTTAACACACTATTTTTTTTAGCACATAAAATTATGAAATCTTTTATTGAATTATTCTTCTTAAAAAATAATTCCTTATGGAATACTAAGCTATTTTCTATATTATCTTCATACTTATTTAAAATAGAGTTTTTATTATTTTTTAATGGCAATAAGAATGTTTCTCCCTTTTTTAAATTATTATATCCTAAAAGCAATAAATAATCATCCTTTATATATGTGTGCATATTTAAAAAAAAATCATACAAAAATTTGAAGGAATGAAATGAAAAGAAAATAATGAAAAAGAAAACTCTATTACCTAAATCTACTTTTAAATATTCAAATAATTGCAAATATATGGTATTTGTAATTGTACTTTTTTTATACAAATAAACTAAATTATTTATTGCTATACTTTTTAAAAAAAGAGTGTATTGTGGGTGACTATATAATATCTTTATTATATCATTTAAGCTAAAATTATTACAGTATAAAAATAATATGTTAGATATTGGAACATATATTAGTTTATTTTTTCTGAATAAAAATAAATTATATTTATTTATTGTTAATTTATTACTTATATTTATATTAATTATATATTGGTTAAGTATGTTCAATAAATTACTATAATCATACATACATAAAAATTCGCTAATTCTATGAACGTTATTATTTATATAATTTATTATTTTTAAAATAAATGAATTAAATAATTTGTTAGAATTATGTATATGATATTTCAAATATTTTGATATAATAAGTAAAGAATATTTGCTTATTTCGTCATTCATTTCCTTTAAATTTACATTAATTATATTGTTGTAATATAATAAATTTAAATAAGTATATATATACTCTATTTTCTTATAAATTTTGTAAATTACAGATATATTATGCCTATAATAAAAAGAATATAAAGATTTCAATAACCCCCTTCTTATCTTTATTTTATAATTTAATATTTCAATTTCTTTTTTATAACATACATTAAAATTTGAGTAGAGAGATATATATTTAAATACATTATGAATATAATTATTTATTTTTTTTTCTTTATTATTATTAAATGTTAAAAATAACTGTCTTATTCTCTCTATGTTTTCTTCTTCTTTTTCCATATTCATTTTTAATAATTTATTAACATTTTTATTTTTTATTATTCTTGATTTATAACTAATAGATAAATTGTTCGTTCTTATGTTTTCAATTTCTTTATTTTTAGAATTGAATTTTTTTTTTAGTGATATATTTCCAATGTTCCATTTCCCCTTTTTATAATACTTACTTCCTTTTTTTCTTATTTTATAAATATTGTTATATTTAAATTTTTTTCTATTTTTTTTCTTATTGAACTTTATTTTATAGTTATCACTTAAATTTTTGTAATTTTTAAAATAATTTAAAGATAATTCATTTTTTTTTTCCTTTTTGATTAACTTTTTATCACTGAAAAATTCACTTAATGATATGTTTTTAATACTTTTAGATATTCTGTAATTTTTATTTTTATGAAATAAATTTATTTTATTTAATTCTCTTATTTTATTTTCTCCTCTTTTATTCTTATTTCCTTTAACTTTATCATTTTTAAAACCTTTTATTATATTACTAATTGTACTAAAATAATTTAGTTCATTTTTAGTAGATGTTGAATTTTTATTAATTTTCATATTCATAAAATTATGATTATATTCATTCCAAATGTCAATGTCACTGTATTTTTTCTCATATTCATTTTCAACTTTATTGGAAAATTTATTACTATTTTTATATATTTTTCCTTTTTTTTTGTTGATACAATCATTATTAAAATTTATATTACTTTTAATTTTTTTGTTTAAGAATTCTCTATATCGTTCTTTATATCTATTTTCAAAATGATTATCAATCTTGAAATTAGAAAGTATTCTTTTTAAATTATCATCATCATATGTACTCCTTAAACTGTTATCATAACCATAATCTTTAATATTATTACTATTATTCATTTTACAACATTCCTCTTTATCATAATTAAGATTTATATTACTATAATTTTTATAAGTGTTATTATTATCATTACTATTAACACTGTAATTATTAATACTATCAATACTATATTTGCTGTAATAATTTTTAATATTAAAAGTATTATTAATACTTTCGCCTTTATATATATTATTATTCATACTATATAACGAATTGTAATAATCAGAATAATAAAATAATTCTGTGAGATCATTTCTATCTTTATAATTTGCATTATACTTAAAATTATTAGAGGTATATTCTGTATTTTTATATTTATTACCATCATTTCTTTTTAATTCATTATTTTCTAAACAAATATATTTTATATTATTAAAAATACACATATCTGTAAATAGTTTACATTTATATAAATTTATATAAATAGTTTCTAATAGATATAAAATACTTAGAATAATAAAATCAAGATTAAGTAAATGTTTTGTATTTATTATATTATAATTCTTATCATTATTATTACTAAATGATTCTAAATTCTTAATTTTTTTTTTAATTAAATTATATGAAACTATGGACAATTTTCTTTTCTTATATTTATATTTCATTTCTAAAATATAAATAAGATAATTATAAATTAAATTACAAATATATATATATTTATTTATACAAATACAGCTTAATTCTTCCTTTAAATTATAGTCATATAATGTTTTTTTATGTGTTTTTTGATAATTCAACATATATTTATATGCGTTTAATATATTTAAATCATCCTCATTATCTTTCAATGAATAAAGATCATAATCATATTCATTATTTTTTTTTTCATTAATACTCATATTTTCATCATTTATTTTTTTTATATTATTATTATTATTTATTTTATTCATAATTTCATTATTATATGTATATTTAATACTTTTTTTTGAAGCATTTTTCCTTTTAGAAATATGGTAAAAATAATCATAATTAATATGTTTTAAATAGGAAACTTTCTTTTTAAAATAGGAATAAATATTATTTGTGTATTTGCGAAAATTATTAATTCTATTATCATCATCATGATAATCTTCATAACTAGCCTTATTTTTTTTATAATTGTGGTTAATTTTCATTTTTTCAATTTGCTGTAAATTTGAAAAATTATTTGATTTTTTTTCTGTTTTTATAGTTTTATATGATTTACATATTTGTTCATTATTTTCATGAGAATTTTCTAAATATTCTTTTTCTTTCCTATCCTTATTTTTATCATCATTATTAACATGTGTACTATATTTTTTCTCTTTTTTCATATAACTAGGAAAATACTCCTTATTTTCCTCTGTTTCTTTTTTACATTTTTTTTTTCTTTTTGGAAAGAAGTCATTTGTTTTATTAGAGTTTATAAAGATGTTTTTTATTTTTTTATTTTTAAATTTATATTCTTTTGTTAAATCATTTAATGAGGTATTTTTATCATGACTTCCCATCGAATATTTATTTGAACAATTTATGCAATAAATATCAGATATAATGTTGTTAAAATTATGAAAAAAAAAAGTTAAAAATATAAAACTCTTTTGTAGTAATAATTTATTAAAATCATATATTTCACTAATACAAAAGCCACTTATTTCTTTATCTATGTTGACAAAATTTTCTTTCTTATTCTTACCTTTCTTAACTGAAAAATTATAAACATTATAAAATGTAAAAAAATTATTAGAATCATCTAAATATAAAAAATAGTTATATTTGTATTTAGAATATAATTGAACGAAATAATTGTAAGAATGAAAAAATTTTGAAGTATAATTAAAAATTTTAATTAAAGCTATAAATATGATAGATATAAAGTTGTAACCAATATTTGAAAATCTAAAATTATATAAATATATATTATTCATACTTTGAAAGCATATATGATTATATTTTTCATTAATTTTTGTATTTGAATTTATATAAAAATTTAAAAATAAACAAATGCTTGTTATATCATTAAGACAACGAAAAAGAAAACATATATTTTTAATATTTCTATCATAATAACTTTTTATATATTCTTTCGTTTTTTTTTTAAATATTTCTTTTAATTCAATAAAAGTATCTTTATGTATATAATCATTATATTCACTTAAACTATCCTCTGTATAATAATTTTTTATTGTATTTCTTTCTTCTTTTTTATTTTTACTTCTTTTATTTATCTCGTTTTCTTTTATATTCATATTACTTTCCTTAGTAGAATATGTACTATTATTATTTAAAACATTATAATATTTTTTTATATTATTTGATGAGTTACATGAATATCTACCATTTACATATTTTTCATTTAATTCAATTTTTGTACAATTATCTTTTGCAATTTTCATTTTATCTCTCTTCTTAATAAATAAATATCCTTCCTCATTTTTATTTTTTCTTTCATATTTTTCCAAATCTGAGTTTGAACCACTACATATATAATTAAAAGTTTTATTTTTACTAAAATCCAAATTTTCCTTCTGAAATTTTTTAAAGTTATGAAAATATAAATTAGAATTTTTATAAAAATTTATGTGATAAAATGTTTTTAAATTTTGTAATTTATTGAACATATTAGTTAAAAAGTAAATATAAGAATTTTTGAAAAAAAAACTCATATCTTTAATTAACATAAAGTTGTTGTAATTTAAACTTAAAAAAGAATTACTAAAAACAAAATAGAATTCTAGAGTAACAACTAGATAATTACATAAATATGGAATATTTAAAAAATAAATATCAATAATCTTCTTCATTAAATAAATTTTATAGTCTTCTAATAATTTTAATTTGTTTTTTATAATTCTTTTCTTGCTTAAATTCATATTATCATTCATTAAAATCATATAATTAATAAAAATATATATTATCATTGCATTATTAATATATTTTATATATTGATCTAATGTATTTTTGTTAGCTATTCTGTTATATTTTAGATTATTATGAATTTTGTTATCCTCCTTTCTTATATAATTATTTATATAATTTTTTATCATTACAATATCACTCACAACGAAAATTTGTTCATAATTGTTAAAAACAATTTTTCTTTTTTTTTTTTTCTTTACTTCATTAGAACAATCTTTAATCTGAGAAATGAAATAACTATTTTTATTTTTGTTTTTAGAAATATCTGCTAAAAATTTGCAACTATCATTTAAAATTATTTTTTCTTTATAACTTTTTTCCTTTTTTTTTTTTTCTGAATCTTCATTAATATCACTTTTAAAATAAAAATATCTAACGCATTCATTATTCTTATAAATGGAATTATTATAATCCTTGCTTTTGTTTTGATCTTTATTATCATCTATATTTTTTGAATAATTACTAAACTTATCAATGAGGAAGTTTGATATAGATGCAGATTTCAATGACAACTTCGCTAAAATTTTTACGAATTTGTAGAAAAAAAAAAAATAATAATTAAAAAAAGCATATTTATAATCATATATAGATAAAATACATGATAATGTATATAATACATATATATATTTATTTTTAATACTAATTTTTGAAATGTTAAAATTTTTTCTAATAGAACTACTTAGAATAATATTGAAATTAACATTGTATATGTTTTTATATCTTTTATTTTTATTTTTAAAAATATTATAATAGAAAAAGAAAAAATAAAACTTAAAATTTTTTTTTATTATTTTTGATATTATATAAATATAATTATTATTTAGCATGCTCATATTTAAATTATTTACATTAGTTGCTAAAAAAATGCAGGTTAAAAAATTGATTATATTTAAGTATTCCTTAAAATATTTTTTGCAGTATATAACTTTTTTGCTTATTTTTATATCATATATATTATATATGTGAGTATTACTTCCTTTAATTTTTTTTAATATTTTAAAATAGTTCAAATCATTATCAATAGCTTCATTTTCGAAATAATCATTTTTTATATAATTCTCAAATAAATCACTAAAACCATTCTCTGAATTCAAATAAGTTGTTTTTCTTTTTTTTCTTAATATTCTTGTATAATTATCAAGTGTATTATACTTTTTAAATAAAGTATATGGCCTTCTATTATAGAAATTTTTTGAATAACTCATAGTATATTTAGGCATTTTTATATTATTATCATTAAGTATATATCTTTTGTCTTTTTTTAATTTTTTATTAACATATATATGCTTGTTAGAAAAATTTAATTTTTTATTAGATTTCATTTCAGTAGATGAACTTTTTTCATCCATATGTATTAAAAATAAGTTTTCTGAAGATAAATTATAATAGTCAACTTTATCATTTGTGTGTTGTATCATTTTTTTGGTATTCATTCTGTTGGTTAAATGCCCATATTCGCTTCTATCTAATATTTCTAAATTACTATTATAGAAATTATTTATATGTTTCCTATATTTTTCTTCATTAATATTCTTATTAACTTTATGACTTAAATAAATTTCTCCACTCGAATTTATTATATTATCAAGTAAGCTACTTTTCTTTTTATCATTATAACTGATTAAACTATTTTTATTATCATCCATATAATTATTTTTTTTTTTTTTGTAATGTTCTTTTATATCTATTGAATTGTGTAAAAAATATTTTTTTTTTTTTTTTTTTTTTTTTATATTAGGGTAAATTTGTTTGTATAATTTATTGTTTCTAATAAGATAGTTTTTATATTTTTTTGCATACTTATTAAAACAAAAAATATAAAACTCATAATAAAAATATGAATATAAGTTTAAAAACAATTTACAACCATTTAAAATTTTAAGAAGTAACAAATAATTAATCGTCATGCATAAATTAATTTTGTATATAATTTTAATCATTTTGTTTTTTTTCTTATCTATTATATTTTTAAATGTTTTTTTTTCATCATATAGAATTTTAGAAAAGGCATAATCAAGACTACTTTTCTCTAAATTTTTTAAAAAACACACAAGGAATGTATTATCATATAATGTACTTAATTTTAGTTTAAATATATGATCAAAAATGCAATAAATATAATTCCTTATGATTTTGTTATAATTCATTATATTCATTAGTAAAAAAAGAGTTGTATTTATAAAATTGTAATTGTTAAATGAATTCAATTCATTTAAAAACCCATATATTTTATATTTAATTAATTTTTTTATATTTTTATGTAAAAACTTACTACTAAATATATTTTTATCAATTAATAAAAAAAAACAGTATAAAATATCCTCTTTTTTCCTAATACCTTCTATGTAATAAATTATATAAATATAAAGTCTCTCATAATTTGTGAAATTTAATCTTATATTATCATGTATTTTGTTTTCTTTAAGATTTTCCAATATATAATTTTTACATAAATTTTTTATATTATTTTTATTAATATATTTTATGCTTAAAATTGGTGTTATTTGAATAACTTTATTTTTAATCATTTCTATTTCTTTTCTATTTAAATTGTCTTTTTTATAAATTTCAACATATATAAGAGTGAAATATAATTTATAAAAATATAACGAAAGTATATTTATGTATTTACTGTATTTTGTTTTGCTCTTGTATAAATAGTGAAATATATTACTAAATAAATATATTTTTATTTTATCAGTTATTCCTAATATCACTTTTAAAATCATTTTATTTCTTCCTTTATGAAATATAGAAAATTTTTTATCTTTTATATTTCTCATATGTTGAATAACGTTTCTTTCAATATATTCATAATTTTCTTTTATTTTATTCATTATTATTTCATTAAGATTTTCTTCTTCATAAAAAGTCCTTTTTTCCTTAAAAATATTAGAATATTTATTTTTGCCATTACCCATTTCATGAATATTTTTTATATTTATGAAATAATTACTATCATTTATATTTCTTTTAGTATTACTAAACTTGTTATTTTCTAAAAATTTCCAAACAGAATTTTCACTTTTTTTATTTAAATTATCTATAAAGATCTTTTCATATTTTTTTGTATGCTTATTTTCTAAATTTTCAAATTCTTTAGATGTATTTGTTTTTTTTTCTGTTTTGAAATTTCTATCAATCATATAGATATTTAAATACTCCAATGGTTTTTTTTCTATTATTGATATGATAAATAATAAGTATGCACAAATATACTTATATATATTTATATAAGGAATAATAGCTTCAAAATATTTTAATATTTCTAATAGAAAATATTGTAATTGTTCATTTTTTTCATAATTAAAGATACAATAATTATAATTTAGGAAAAAAAAATAAAGAATATTTTTTTTTCTTCTTTTACTTTTTTGTTCATATTGTAATTTGTTAGAATATGTATCACCAATTAATAATTCATTTCCTGTACTTTTTTCTTCAATGGAATTTAATGAAAAACTTCTAACTGATTTAGTGTATTGATTATTTGAAGAATACTTCATTTTTTTAATTTTATCCTTTAAGTTTATACTAATATTAAAAAGCATTTTTTTCTTATTCTTTTTTTTTTTGAATAAAAAATATTCATTAATATTATCATTTAAATTATGAAGAAATTTTATATTAAATAAAAAATTAAAATAATAATTTTCATTATTAAAATATTTGTTTTTATAATTTAAAATTTTCTTTAAAAATATATACTTAGTAGTATTATGTTTTTTATCTATGCTTTTTAAACTAACAATCTTATTTTTAAAAATAAATTTTTTTTTTTCACTAATTTTTTTATTATAAAAATTAAGCTTCCTATTAAATGATGTTATACTTTCAATAAAATTTGTATTTTTTTTTAAATTATATCTAATAAATGAACTTAAATTATGACGAAAAAGAGATTTATTATTAAAAATATTATTACAATAATAATGAAGTTTATTAACATATATGGCTAAATAATTTCTGCAATTATATTCAATAAAATATTTTTTTTTTTTTTTTATATCTGATATAAAATTATTCATTAATAAAAGAAAATATATTTTTCTATAATTTGTTTGTTCAATCTGTTCACTTTCAACTTTATTAGAACTCCTTTTAAAAATTAAATTACAATCTGTTATTAATTTATTATCATATATTTCTCTATTAAAATTATTATATTTCAATTCATTTTTTTTTAGATTTTCTGAATATATTTTTTCTTTGTTTTCAGAACATCTTTTATTATATATTATTTTATTTTCATTATAATAATTTTCAATTAATTCTTCATTTATTTTCCCATCAACTTTACTATCTTGTTTAACTTCTTCTGTTGTTACATTGTTATTATAAAACTCTAAATTCTTATTTTCTTTTATGATATTAGAATATATTTCTTCATAATTTTCCTTTTTTAACAAAAAATTTACTTTTATATAACTATTTACACATGTATGAAACCCTTTATTCTCATCAAAATACAAATTAGTGTTAAATATTTTTAATTTATTAAAATTATTATCTTGAATAATTTTTATTTTATTTTTATTAATTTTAAATTTTTTATCTTTACCTTTATTGTTATTCATATATATATTGGTATTATTTATAATAACAAAAAATTTTCTTTTTGATGTATATATATGGATTCTTTTTTGTAAAAAATAGTTTAATTTTTTATTATTTTTAAATAAACATTTTAAAATTATAAATGAAAATAATGATTGACTAAAAAAACAATCACAAATTAATTTTGTAATACTATTTATAATTATGTAATTATTACATTTTCTTATATACAAAATTCTTTTTAATAAGGAAAAATTATTTTTATTAAATATTTTATAAAAACTACGTATTCTGGATAACAAAATGATCAATAACATATATATTTCATATATATATAAGAAAGAATTTTCAACAAAATAAATATGAAATTTATTATATTTTTTACTTTCTTTTTTTCTATTTTTACCTTCCTCGTTAATTATAAAAAAAAGAATGTTAAAATAAAATTCATATAAAAGTAATAATCTATAATAGACACATTTATTCAAATATACATTCTTTTTTTTTTTTATACATTTATAAATTTCTTTTATTGTATTATTAGCTATTTTATTAATAAAACGATATATATATAAAGTTAAAAAAATTCTATCCTTTTTTATTAACAATACTTCTGCTAATTTTAATAATTTTAAAAAAATAATATAGTTTATTGTTTTATAATTTACATTTACTAAGATATTATCTTTTTTATTTATATTATCATTACAATTGTTACTTTCATTGTATTTCATATAATTAGTAATAATGTCAATTTTATTATCCTCAAAATTATTGTTTAATTGATCTTTAATTAACGATGTTTCTATTTTTTCTTCTAGATTATTTTTAAATTTTAAAGTATAAAAATTTTTTAAATCAATTTCATTATGATTGTATTTTAGAAAATGTATATCTATCGTATTTTTGATTATACTTAATAAGGTTAAGTTATAAAAAATACTTTTATTACTACTTAATAGATAACTTTCTACATATTTAAAAACTTTAAATTTACTGATATAGTTATAAATAAATATAATAAAATTCTTATAAAAGGTAGTTAATCTTTCATATGTAATTTTGTTTTTTTTTTTAAGATAAAAACAATATTTATCAATTAAAATTATCATCACATTATAAATATAATCATAAAAGAAAATGGATAATTTTCTTTCATTACCATTTCTCTTTATATGACTAAATAAATAAATAATTGCAAACATATATTTTGATATTATATAAAAATTTCTCTTGTTTAATATTTCGTGTAATTTGAATTTATATATGTTAATTAGAATCAGTAATAATATATTTATATAACATAAATATAATATTACTTCATTAATTTTTTTCTCCTTTTGAAATATATATTTTTGTAAATATATAAATGTCAATATATGTATATAATAAATAAAAAGTTGTAATGTGAAACTTTTTCTATAGTTTTTATTTAAAGTCAAAAAATATGATATATGTAAAATAATATAACTAAAATTTAACTGCAATTTATTAATCCTTATAGAAAAATTTTCTTCTAATTCATTTTTTTCATAATATTTTTCTTTTCTATTAATAATAATTCTTCTTTTAAAAATCTTTATTAAATGCTCTTCAAAAATGTGTAGTAAATTAAAATATAAAATTAATACATTATTACTATTCCTATAATTAAAAAAATGAAATCTTAGTTTATCTTAATAGAAATATAATGTATGTATATATCATATATGTATTTTTTTTAATATATAAAAATTATTTATATTTTTAATACTCAATATGCTTTTTCTTGAGATTTTTACACAAATAAAGAATTAGAATAATTTTGCTTTTCCCTTCATTTTTTTTATTATTTACATAATTGAATATATTATCTATATTTACATCTTTCATAACCTAAAAATTGTTTGATTTATTTTAAATTTCATTTAAATTAAAAGAAGCAAACAAAAAAAAAAAAAAAAAAAAAAATAATATATAGATATAAAAATAAATATACATCATTTTTATGTAAATCTTTTTTAAACATTCTCATTAAATTAAAATTTTGATATTCAAACATCAATAAAAAATTTTAATATATGCCAATATACATAATATTACTATGAAGAATTACATTATCTTTTTTTTTTATTTTATATTTTCGCATCTTCAAATTTTTTGTTTTACAAAAAATACCTAAAAAAAAAGTGTATTTTTTTGTGTTCTAAACTAATTAAAAAAATACAACAAAAAAAAAAAGTGGAAGCTTATTAGTATTCATATTCACATATCTATAAAAATAATATAATATTTCTATGATATATTAGAAACATAAATATTTTCTATTTTTACTTGATCTATATACAACTAATCTAAATTAAAAATTTCTTCATTTAGTAAAATATGATCATTTTTTCGTTAACTTAAATATATATAAATTTTAATAATTTTATCCTCTAATTATTTATTTTTTTTTTTAAATTTTAACTATATTTATGTAGTAAAATCTGATTCATTTTTATTTAATATATTTTAATATTTAAATTTTTCTTATTATATATATATATATATATATATATGAATACTTAAATATTAAGAATTGTCTAATTTTTTTCCTTTTTTATTGAAATATATAAATAAATTTTCATTAAAAAAGGATGATATTTATTATTTTTAAAATAAAAAAATATAAGAATTAGTAAATAATTCTAAATTATTTTTAAAAATTCTGAAAAATATTTTATGTTCATATATATTCACATATATATATATATATATATTTATTATTTGTGTTAGCAAAAATGTACTAACATTAATTTTAATTTTTTGTATTGATTTTTATTTTATTTCATATATATATATATATATGTATGTATATGTATTTTATTTTTTATATTTTACTTGTTATTTTATTTTGACTTTGTTTTATTTATTTATTTTATTTGATTATATTTTTTTTTTTTTTTTTTTTATTACATTTTTTATATTTTTTTTATATTTTTTTATATATTTTTTATATTTTTCAATGCTACGAAAAGATCAAAAAAAATAAATGCACCAAAAGTTATTTTTATAACTTCTTAAATTATTTATTTTTTATTTTTTTTTTAAATATAAATATAAAGAAACTCTTTTAAAGTACAAAAATATATTTGATTTATTATATAATTGTATTATAATTATATTTAAAATAAGAAATATTTATAAAATAATTAAGTTTAAATTGAAAATTTTATAGAAAAAAAATAAAAATATCAAACTTGAAAAAGTAAACATGGAAACAACGAAAACTACTTCTGAGATAAATATATTAACAAAAAATGAAGGAAAAAATAATATTGTGAATGAAGAAAATGTTGATAATGATAAAAAAAAAAAAAATTATGATAAATCAATTGAAGAAATAAAAATAGAAAATAAAAATTGCTATATATCAAAAATTAGTGAACCCTTATTAAAAAAAAAGTATTATAAAAATTTTTTAAAAATTCTAGATTATGCATATTATGCTAAAGTAAGTGCATCTCATATTATAAAAACAAATATAAATTTAGATGAGGAAAGAAAAAAAATATTAAAAACAAAATTTATAGTTATCGGATTAAGTCAAGTAATAAAAGCTATAAGAAAAGGATTTCAAGGTATAGTTATTTTAGCAGTAGATATTTTTCCTATTAATATAATTTGCCATTTACCCGCATTTTGTGAAGAATCTAATATTCCTTATACGTTTGTTACAACAAAAAATAAATTAGCTCATTTGTGTAAATTAAAAAGATCAATTACATGTTTATTTATATTTAAACCAAATGATGAAATATACAAATTTGAAGAAACTATAAATGAATATAATAATAAACAAAAAATTGTTAATTATGAAAAACTTTATGATAAATTATTAAAAGGAGTAAAAAAGAATCATCCTTTTTTTCAGTCATAATATGAATATTAAAAAAAAAAAAATTTATATATATAAACCTTTTTTTAATTTATTTAAAAGAAAATATTATTAGGAACTTTTTTTTTTTTAATTAATTATTACATAAACTAAAATTTTAATTACTTTTTTATTATGTTTTAGATTTAATTCTTTTATTTTTCATTTATAAAGTATAATTTTTTTTATTTTTTTATTCTTTATTTTTTTTTTTTTTTTTTTTTTACGTGTATTGATACTTTGAGAAATAAATAAAAAAATCTGAACTTAATTATAGAAAGAAAAAATGATTACTTTTTGTTTCCTTTAAAAGTTTATTATCTTTTAATTGTATATATTATTTTAAATTAAAATTTGAAAACATATTAATACTTTAAATTACAACTATAAAATCTTTAAACATTTTGAAATTTAATGAAATTTTTACATTAGACAAAAATGGAGAACTTTTCTTATTATAGATTAATTTTAATAAAAAATATAATTTTAAATTATTTTTATTTATTTGTTTATTTATTTAAATCAATAAAAATAAAAAAAAAAAAAATTCTACTTTATTACAAAACAAAATAAAATGTAATATAATAAAATAAAATTTTTATATAATTAAAACATGTTTAATATGTTGTCATATGCATACATATACAGTAATAGTAATAAATACTAGAATAAATCTAAAAAAGGAAAAAAAAATTACCAACAAAAGAAATATACTACTTTAATAATTTTTTTTTTTTCCTCTTTAAATTTAATTAAAAATAATAACTATTATTAAAAAAATGATGAAATAATTTAAAAAAAATTTTGAGCTAAATGATATATTATTATGCTTCCTTACATTATTTTCGTGACTTTCTTTTTCTTTTTTTTTATATTCTTCTAAATAATTTAAAATATTGTATTGGGGATGCTTTTTATCATCTAATAAATACTCAGATGTTGAAGGAAAGAAGTATAACCAATTTTCTGAAAATATAGCATTTTGTTCTTTTTGTAATTTTTTAATTTCATTTATATTTTCCATTTCTTGTGTTAATGTTTGATTTAATGATACAATATTACTTAATAGTTGATTTTTTATATCCTTTAAAACATTCGATTTCTCTTCTATATTTTTAACAGATTGCAACCAATCACGAATATCATATAATAATTTTTGAGAATTTTCTTCTAAAAATTTTATTTCTTCTTCGCTTTTTTTTTCTTTTCCTAATTTTTTATTATTATGAATTTCATTTAATACATATGATTTGAAATTACCATCATCTATATTATATGCATTTCTTAAATTTTCAGTTTCATTAGTTAATTTTCCATTTTTTAAGTTTTCACTTAACATCTTTAGCTTTTCAATGTTTTTCCTTATATCTGTTTTACTATTTTCATGATGATCATTATTTATTTTAACTAAATTTTGCGAAATATTTTTTTCTTCTAGTTCCTTTTTATCATTTTTATTTAACCATCTATTTTTCGGATTTTTATGAAAATTATCTATTATTATATTATCTGTATTACTTATATTAAAATTGTTACATTGAAAAATAAAATTTATTAAAAATATGTTTATTAAAATGAAAAAAAAGGAAAATTTACAATTCATTATACTGAAAAAAGAAAAAAAAAAAAAAAGGAAATAAATTAAAAAAACAAATAAGAAGCTTTAGAAATGCACAAAACTAAAATCAAAATATGTTATTTTTTATATATTTAAATTAACTGATAAATATATTTTATAAACGTTTATTTATATTATTTTTTCTTTTCATTAAGTTTAGAGTAATTAGAAGTTTCATAACCTATAAATTCGATACACATTTTCATTTTATCTGTCTTAAATGCACATATATACATATATATATATTGTATAGTTATTTTTATTTTCCTATTTTAAAGAATAATCATGGAAAAAAAAACAAAAAAATATTAGATTTTCTTTTTTAATCTAACATAATATCTACTTCATTAACGATTATTAAAAATAGTTTTTAGCTGAATTTTAAAAAAGAATTTTTTCATTTAATTGATAAAAGTTATAAAGATTTATCTTTTTTAAATAATATATATTAGAAAAATTGAAATTCTATATTATAAGGAAAATTTATATTTAAATAGGATAAAAAAACCATTTAATATTTTGATTATTTAAAAAAAAAAACTAAGAATAAAAAAATTAAAGTTTATATAGTAAAAAAGTAAAGAGTGTTTTTTTTTTTTTTCTTAATATAAGAACATTTAAAAATATATTAGTTGTTTTATAATTTTATTTTATTTTTTGCACTTTTATGCAGGTGCTATTAGTGTTGTAGTATAATTAATTTTATGTTGAAGATATTGTTTCATGTATCTTTCCGTTGTATTTATTTCTTATTCTTTTTGTTTATACTTACATTTATATTGTCTAATTTTTTTTTTTTTTTTTTTTCAGTATTATAGTTTATTTTAAGCAAAAAAAAAAAGAAGATACATTGATATTTTATTTAAATATAAGTTTTACATTAAAAATAGCTTTTAAAAATAAAGATTAAAAAATATAGGTACTTTCTAATATTACTTTCTATAAGGATGTTCCCCTTTTAATTTAAATAATCTATGAATGTAATCTTAAAATAAAAATTAAAATATTATTTATTTTATTCACAAAAGTTTACTTGAAACATGATATATTTAAAAAGAAAAAATTATATATGTTTCTAAAAATAATATTTAATAGCTTATTTTCTTTTTATCAAATTACAAAAATTAATATAATTTTTTATGACATTGAAAAATAAATTATTATAACTTTACTTTTTTTATTTGGTATATGAAATCTTATCATTTTCCATCAAAATATATATTAAATATTTAAAAAAATTAAGGATAATATATATTTATACGCTATACATTTTTTTTAAAATGTAATTTTTCTTTTCTTTTTTTTTTAAATTAAAATTAAATAAAGAATCAAAAAATGTATTATTATAAGATTAAAAAAAAGCATTTAATTAAATATTAAAAAAAAACACAATTATTCTAAATATAAAAAAGTATATCTTCCTTTATGCATACATACATATATATATATATATATATATATATATATATATATATTCATAAAATTCATATTTTCATGTTTTCAGATTATTTATTATAAATGCTCTAAAATGTGTATATAAATATATAAATTATCAATTTTCTCTTTTTATGTTTTCTTTATTATTTTCTTTTTGTTCATTTTCTGAACTTTCTTTGTTCTTTTCTTCTTTTTTATCTTCATTTTTTTCGATACTTTTTACTTTATCTTTGCAATCATTATCTTTTTCTTCATTTTTCTCTTCTTTTTCCTCTTTTTCTTCTTTTTCCTTTTTTTCTTTATTTTCCGTATCTATATTTTCTTTCTCTTCTTTTTTTTCTTCATTTTTTATTTCATGTTTTTCTTCTTTTTTATTTTCATTATCTTCTTCTTCTTTGTTTTTTTCTTCCATATCTCCTTTAGTATTATTTGTTTTTTCTTTTTCTTTAGTAACATCATCATTTTTATTTGCTTCTTCCTTTTCTCCTTTCTCATTTACTTCTTCATTTTCTTTATTATTAAGAAGTTTAATATTAATTCTACCAGCTTCATCAAATTTTTCTTTGAATACTTTTGCTGCTTCAGCACTATTAAATTTCAAGGCAAATTGCTCGATTTTTGGTTCTTCTGCAAAATCTTTAACTGTCCAGGCATAAATTTTTTCACTTCCTGCATTTGGCACAAGCTTACAGTATGATTCATTTGGATAAATATAGTGATTAGCAACAACTTTTAAAGTTTTCTCTTGCCTTAATAAAAATCTTATAGTCCCTTTTTTCTTATGTAATAATAGTTTTGATTCACCTAATCCTCTTTCTTTCCATTCTCCATTGACCCATCTATACAATTTTGATCTGCCTGACCAAAATAAACTTTCATCTTCTTCTCCGGTTTTTATTTCAACTTCTTTTAATTCAACCTTTATGAACAGTTCAGAAAAAAAAAAATAAATAAAAACTTTAGCTAACATAAATATATATAATTATCATATTATTTTTTACTTTATAAATAATAAAGTGAACATATATGATACATATATATATATATATATATATATATATATATATATATATATGGAATATACAAATATATATATTAATTGTTTTTTTTTTTTATTTCATTTTTACTTTTGGTGTGTTCCAGTTTCCTGTGGTGACTTCTTCTTCTGGATTATAATCATTTTTATCTTCATCCATGTTTAATAAATAAATTTAAATATATTCAATCAATAAATAGTAGATAATAATAATAAAAAGTAAAAAATATACACAATTTGAATATATTTTCTCTTTTTTATATATAGATATATATTTTTATATTGTTATTTATTATTTTCTCTTATTTAATATTGTTTTGAATACAAAAATTAATAATTTAATGTATTATTCAACATGCAAAAAAAATATCGTAAAATTAAGTGTTAAATTAATACTATTTATATATATATGTTTTTTATTTTATAAAATTTTTTAATTCAATTTTATTCCTTTTTTTTTTTTTTTACTTTATCATTTTATTATTTTTTTTATATAAATACTTAAAATAATTTCCATAAAAAATTTAATTCTGAAGATATCATATTTTTAAAATTTTCATTTTATTTTTATATTTTTGTATCTTTATAAAAAAAAATATTTATGTATATATAGTACACTTTTATGTATAAATATATAAATATATAAATATATATACAGTTTCATTATGTTTTATATTTTTCAGCTTGGTAAAATATTTTTAAAATTGATAAAAATAAAAAATTAAAAAAAAAAGGCCAACAATTTACAACAAGATAATTATTTATTTATTTTTTTTTTTTTTTTTTTTTATATAGCATTTTTTTATATTAGAAATTTATATATAATAATTTATGCATCTACTATCATTTAATAATGAAAATATATTCATATTAGCTATTAAGTTATAAAATACAAAATGATATAAAAAAAAAATTTACATTTTTTTCCTAATTCTTCATATTCTTTTTTAATTTAGTTTCATCTTTAATTCAAATGAAAAAAAAGTAAAGAAAAAGAAAGAATAAACAAGAAAAATTTTTTAATTTTAAAGTATTTCTTAATTTTTTTTTTTATTGAAAAGGTTTCTATATTTAAATTTCCTTATTTGATTAGTTTGTTATAATATTTATGTCTATTTAACTTTTTTAAAAAGAAAATTTAGAGAGGTTAAATTTCTTTTATTTTCCATTTTTTTCTAAATATTTTATATAAATTTTTAATAAGTAAACTTTCAATATTTTAGAATTCTGCATATGACAATGTAAATTTATTAAATATATATACTTAATATCAGAGAGACATTTAATTTAAATGAAAGAGAAAAAAAGTTAATTTTTTTTTTCTTTTTAGTTTAAATAATTAAAAATATAATTATATGCTCGTTTTTTGAATTTTAAATACATATGTTTTTAGAACAAAAAACAAAACATGAGGAATTAATGAACTCTTTATTCTAAATTAAGTACATATAAAATTCTAGTTACTTTTTTTTTTTTTTTTTTAATCTCTAATTCGGATATTATTAATGAAAATATGTATTCAAGAATAATTCTTTAAGAAAAAATATTAATACAAAAAAAAAAAAAAAAAATATTAAACAATTTCATAATGTACACTGAAACTTTAAAAAAATATAGTTGCAATATATAAGAAGGATATCTAATATATACCAAAAAAGTTCAAAGTATTAAGAAGTTGCTGAAGAATATATATAATTTAAAAAAATAAAAATAAAAATTAGGTTTAAATAGATTATTAAAATAAAAGATTTTATTACACTGCATACGAGAAACAAAATTAAAAGACTTGTGATTAAAAAAGAGTGCCATATTTTTTATTATTTTTTTTTTTATTTTTAAAAGTTTTTTTTTATTTATAATTATCATCTTATTTTTTATTATTAATATTTTTTTTTTTTTTTTAAATTCTCCACAATTTTTACTATTTTTATAATGATTAAATTTATCTTATTTAATTAAATTTATATTTTTTTTTTTTTTTTTTTTTTTTTTTTTT